CCGAATAGGTGTTTAAACTTCTTGAAATAATCACTCGCTCAAAAAATAGTCCCGTTGTTCCGTTTTTGGCGGGTTTGTGGTCTGATTTTTGAGAAGGCGTGAGTTTTTGACACTCAAACATTCATAACTTTCTTCATAGTCAACATTTTGCAGATGTTCAAGGCTAATTAGAAACTAGAAGATTAGCGCTTTCAAACAAGCACCTGACTTTTTTCCAACAATCACTCTCTCAAAAAATAGTCCCGTTGTTCCGTTTTTGGGGGGTTTGTGGTCCGATTTTTGAGAAGGCGCGAGTTTTCGACATTCAAACGTTCATAACTTTCTTCATAATCAACTTTTTGCAGATGTCTAAGGCTAATTAGAAACTAGAGGATTAGAGCTTTCGAATAAGTGCTAAAACTTTTTTCAATAATTCACTCGGCTCAAAAATAGTCCCTTGTTCCGTTTTTCCACCTTGATTTTTTTTCAAGCCATTTTCCTGGACCGCAGACTATGCCTATGCAGTCTTCAAAGGCCCATCACTTCCTTCAAATTAATGTGATGAGAAGCGGTAAAAGATTGTTGGAATCCGCTCGAAGAGGGGCGCCGATAACAGTTGCAGATTTCCCTGAAATTTCTTCTTCTTCCTCAATTTTCCTACGGCGTCTCTAGAACTCAATTCAGCAAATTCGCTACACTTTGTTTCGCTTAGATTTTATTTGAAAGCATCAAAACTCTCTTCAGAAAGTTTGTCTGCTTACGGCCGCTGACAGAGGAGGCGTTTTTATGGAAAACGCCTGCTCGGGTATACGCCGTGCACCTATCTGTGGGCAGATTCGCACTCGCATTTGAAAGTCTTCTGTTTTCCTGAAGAAGGTGTTAGTATCCTGATTGAGTTGTATTGTGCTGTTATATGGCACTCTTGTTTCACTTTCCCATGAACTGCTCTACACTTTGTTCTCCTCGGGATTTCAGGAATGTTTCATCATCGAAGACAGACCATGTTTTTGCACTACACTGTAACAAAGTTTTTGGCTATTGTCTATTGTACTCTTGATCTATGCCGCGGAGCAAAAGCGCCGTCCGGATAGCGTCGATTAAGGATAATAAGCTGATGGTGAGACTTATAGTGCTCTGCATGCTTTAATGCTCCCATGGAGCTCATGTCTGTGTGACTCTCCGACAGCGTGCAGAGCTCCTGGAGAACATTAGAGGCTGAAAGTGCACTCCCGGACACTTTGCACTTTTCAAGCCGTCTTGCAGCCCGTCTGTGGATACGACCCCCTCCCGTTTTCGGTCGGCTGAATACGACCCTCGTTGTTCGGTTGCGAAGCAGGGTGACCCTGCTTGTGGCGCCACCAATCAATCTACGTTGGGAGAATCGGGATACGACGTTCGATTTCGGAGTTACAGACTAAACGGTCCAAAGAATCGGATGCAGTAGGGAAGCGAAATTTTCTTGCCATGGGTAGAGTCGGCCAAAAAGGCTTCCTAGTGTGAGACTCCGAGAACCACGTGAGATCGTTTCCGCCGCAAACATTTGTGACTTCTTCTTCTTCTTCCTGGCGTTAGTCCCCGCGCGGTCGCAAGGTCCGCTGCCTTTGGCAGTCGTCCCCACTCTGCTCTGTACAGGGCATTATCTACCGTGGTTGTGGCTTCACTCAGGTCCTTCTTGATTACGTCTCTCCACCTTTTCTTTGGGTCGTTTGCCTTGCACTTCAAAGTACATCGCTTGTTTCTGTGCGGATGATTCGGGGCCTCCTTAACCATGACGCATACATCGTATGGACGCGTTGCCGTACCTTTCGTTGGGAAGGACGTCTGCTGACCACTCTGAATTCTCGTTTCTAAGGTTTGAGCCTGTCCAAAACCGCGTCAGCAGCAAAGCCATCTCAGCATACGCATTTCGTCGGAGTGAAGGTGTCTTTAATGGTTGGGCACCCAGCACTTCCGTGCTATTAGAGCACCACAGGCGCGTACTACTGTCACTCTTCCTTTACACGCTCTGGAGCACCCGTCATCGCACAGGTTCAGTGGACCCTTCGTTCCATCCATGCGCGTTTGAGCGAGTGCTCCGGCGTTCACCGGCCTGACCATGTATACTCGACTGTCAGATCGTTTCCATGGTGAATCACATCGAGTCGACCCTCTTTGAAGTTCAGGACTGGTGGCTTTTTTGTTATTCAGCGGAGTCACGTTTACTGCCAAAGCTTCGGCCATTGGGTCTGAACCCTAGACTGAAGTTCCTTCTGACTATCACTATCAAAGTGATGTCGTCAGCGTAGAGGATTGTTTTCAATGGTCCTTCAAGCTCTTTCACCAGGACACCTAGTGTAGGGGCTTGAAGACGATCCTAGGTGCACCACTCCGTTATGCCCACTTCCCTCGTTAGGCCGTGTGGGTGGTATAGCGCTGTACCCCATCCGTGACATGTACGGTAGCATGAAGGGTGTCGGCACATGTCCTTCGGGAGCGATCTCAGCAGTACTGTACGGTAGCGGCGAGCGCCTTCTCCAGGCTTAGGTGCGGTCGGCGCTTTTCTCGTACTTTTCCATCACTTGCCTTGCGATGAAGATGGCATCCGTCGTAGACCTTTCGGGCATGAACCCGAACTGTTCCTGGGAGATCGGGACCAGCTCCCGCAGTTTCGAGTCGACCAGTCGCTCGTACAGCTTCATTGTATGAGCAGTCAACTTGATCCCGCGGTAGTTGGAGCAGTCCATCGCGTCACCCTTCTGCTTGAAGATGGGGACGATAGTACTTGTTCTCCAGGCATCCGGCATTTTCGGCTGTTTACTGTGTTTCAGCAAGGCAGGTGAGCACTTACTGTGCGCTCGAGCTTCCTTCACCGATGGTTGAGTATTTACTCCATCGGAGCCAACTGCGCCTTTCCAACCTTCATTCTTCCCAAGTGCACCGAACCTCATCCTCTGTCCACAGTGCGATGGGACCAGCTGTTGCCTCTGCCGTGAGTTGTTCTTGTGGGGAAACTCCTCGTTCACTTCGGCTGGTTTCCTCAAGATGGCGCCGTTGCTGCCCTTTACCCTCTACAACCCGGATATCTTTACCCTATGTCATACTTCAGCCAGCATGAACGCCACTTCCTGGCGTTGCTTTCTAGCCTCTCGTACAAGCTGTCCATTTCTGTGTTCTTCGCCTTGGCGACGGCTGCCTTAGCGAGCCTCTTGCAACTCTTGTAGGCAGCGAGGTTCTTCGGAGCTTCGGGTCTTCTTGCCAGCGCTTGTATGCTTCCTTCTTCTGCTTCACGACTCGCTGGACTTCCTCGTTCCAGAACCACGCTGCCTTGTCTCCTCTGATTCCACCTCGGGTCTCGCCCAGTACCTCCTTGGCACATCGCAGGATGGTCTCAGCCGCGTTGCCCCAAGCCCGCCAGACTGTGTGTACGTTCGGATCTGGAAGACAGCTTTATGTGTGCATCTGAGTCATTTCTTCTTGCTTTGGTGCAAGTCCCATCATTGAGTTCTATTCTCGGTTCTTCTTCGGGAGGTCCATGGCAATGTCTGCCAGGAGGGGCCTGTGCTGCGGAGCCAATTCCTCGCCAGGGAGTACCTTG